GTGTGTGTGTGTGTGTGTGTGTGTGTGTGTGTCTGTTTAGGCATCTTTGTGGGGACCAAAAATTGGAATGTTACCATACTTGTGAGGACCAAACATCACTTATGAGGACACAAGTGCCGGTCGTCACGAGTTTGAAGGCATTTTTGAGACTTAAAATGTGGTTTTAGTGTCAGTGTTACAGTTAGGTTATGGTTAATTTTAGGCTGAGGGTTAGGATTAGGTATTCATTTTTGATGGTTAGGGTAAGCGGCTAGGGAAAGCATTATGTGAATTAGATGTCCTCACTGCGATATCAAAACGAGAATGTGTGTGTGTGAGAGAGAGACTCGGCTTTCTCTCCCCCTTAAGTTGAAGACATGTATACCCAGGCACAATCACATTGTCACTGTGTGTCCCGCATACCAAATTATAAGGATCAATCACCCATTTGTACATTACAGATATTTGGTGTACACACACACACACACACACACACACACACACACACACACACACACACACACACACACACACACACAGACACCGTCTCAGCCTGATTTTCTAATTAAAGGCAGGGTCACAAGAGAGACTTAAACACGTAATCTATGTACTTCACTAATGAACCTCTGCCTCTCGCGCGCACTCTCCCTCTCTCCTTTGCTCCGGTTTGGTCTAATGGTCTGCCTGGAGGTCAGACCATTAGACGGCGTTACACACGTGTAATAAAGGGTGCGTGGGAGTTTTGTCGGACAAAAAGGTTGGCCTCGCGAGGCTGCTGAGGGCATTCGAGTTTTACAGATGTGTGGGGTGGTTTTGAAGGAAAGTTGCTCTTCCTATTCTGTTTTTCCCTCCCGAGTTTGAACACCTTCTCAAGGCGTGTATCTCCCGAGGACATAGAAATGGCAAACGAACTGCATATCAGTGTCAATATTAGATACCCGTTCCCGCTGCAGCCAGTAAACACAGATAAACGACAGCACTGTGTCGCACTTTGGTAGCACATCCCGAAGGATTGTGCTCGCTCAGGCGCAAACCGTCTGTTGCCTTTGGTGTGCGCGCGCGCGTCCTCACGCTTGTTTGTGTGCGCCCGACTCTGTAGTGCCAGGTGTGTGAGGCTTATCTGGCATTAAGGTCCAGTGAGCATGATGATGTTTCTCTTTAAGTTTTGTCCCCATTCTGTCTCGTTCATATCTCCTCGCTGGCAGTCACTTGCACTTTTGTGGCGCCTATGTATTCTTCTTTTTTGTTTTTTGCCTTTTGGTGACCTCTAGGTCGGGTTCGGCCTCACCTTTTGGGTGGTTGATTTGTCTGTATCTGAATCCGGGATGGCACCTCGTTGCTCTTTGTGACATCAGAGTGAAAAGACAAAAAACGTGAAATGTTTCAGCTCCGTTTCTCTCCGCTGCGGTTTTCTCTGTCAGCTGAAGAAAGTTCAACAGAGGCACTGATGTCTTTGTGGATATTTTCTGTCTTGCCCGTCAGTCTTCCTGTGCAGTCAGGGCTTGTCATCATGAAGCCAAAGAACATCGGCGGCTTTAACAAAAGATTAAGCTGAATATGTTCCACCTGCCTTCTTGCTTCACTTCTGAATTCCCACCTGTGTTGGATGCTCGGCTCTTCATCCTGCAAAGGAGATTTAAAAAAAAGATTTATTTTTTTTTGTCTTATTTTGTTTAGTTTTTTTTGTTGCTTCTCTCCACAATAGTGTGTGTTTGCGATTATTAACCCTTCCTGTTGTGCTCGTCTCTGCAGTGATCAGCGTCTCCATGGAATGCGCAGGGAGTACACGCAAGCCCGAGCCGCCCCGGGTTACGAGGAGCTAGACGCCGCACGGCGCCGAATCCTGGAGTATGATCCAAACCGGGTGAGTGTGCGTGCTTTTTTTGGGGGTGTTGTAGTTGGTTTAAACTGGACACCAGTTTAAAAGATGGTGAAATGAAGAGTGTATGTCAGTGTGTGCTTCTTTCCAAAGCACTCCTGAGAGACCACTGTGTTTTCCCGTGTGTTGTTCTCAGGCTGATTTCAGCTTCTTGTTAACATTTGAGGGGCCTGTGTGCCATCGAGGAGCTGCCCGCTTTCCTCTTCATTTGGTATATGGAGAGATCTATTAGACTGGTGACATTTCCATCCCACCTTTCTTTTAGCTCCGCTTTATCTCTTTCTTTTGTTTCCTATTGCTTTTCCTTCTCTCCACCCCTCACCCCCCCCTTTTCTTTTCTACAAAGGCCTGAAATCCCTGATTGTTGCCTCTCCCAACCAGACTGCACTGCTAAATGTCCCTGAACCTGTATTGATCCGGCCTGAGGAATCATTTCATTTACCTCTGTACACTCCCAAACTCGGCATACTCGCCATGGAAATCAATAGCCATTTATCAAGCATTTTAAAAAGGGATTTTTTTAATAGCGAGCCCAAAGATGCAGAAAATCACACTTTGATCCAAATCAGAATCGCCGAATCTCGCCACGGCATTTCCACTGAGCGAGATTTGGCTTTCACTAGGTAACGCGAGGAGAGAAGCAGAGGCATCTGGGAAATATGGATTTACTGACCGCATCGCCGCAACAAAATCGTCTGATACAACCGGCCTCCCGCCGCGTTCACGTCCTCACTTGTTGTAGTCTGTGTCTATTGAGCAATGAAGCCCCGTGAACCAGTCTTCATTAGGCACTCTCAGACACACGCCACAGTAGCTGTCTCTGAGGCCCGAGGGGCTTTGTCACTCATTACGCATCCCTATGCAGCATGTGTTTCTGCCTCGGATCACCGTGACTCAGTCGGTACCCAAACTCTGATGCAATTAAAGCGCAGCAAGCATGAGGTGCAACCTCTGATCAGTTTGTTGTTTTTTTTACCCAAAAAGAAGACAGCGGTGTCCACAGCAGAAACCAGCAGTGGCTTTCTCCCCTGAGGAGACTGATAATGAAACACTGCACTTACCAGCACACACACACACACACACACGTAGTGCGAATAGACACAGGAAAACATCAAGGAAATTCTAGTGAGAACATAAAAGAAGATATTGGCAGGATATTTTGATTCATAACATGATGATATATAACTACATTCACAGACATCGATTAAGCTTTTATGGAGTATATTGCTTGAGTGCTTAGTTCTTATATTTCTTTCTTTCAAGTTCAGATCTATCAGAAACCCCTTTCCTCGCACTCAGACGTACGGCTGTTTGCACAGATTTCCTGCACTCTGCTTTAACCTCTCCTTTGCACTGAAGTTGCTTCTGTTTGCTCATGAAACTTCTGCTCTCTGATTTTCCTCCTTTTCTTTTTGTGGCACACAGGTTATGTTTGATGGCTGAGTGGTTAGAGCGCATGTCAAACAGGTACCTCTCCCAGAGGAGCGGGTTTCTGCTTCAGTCACTGCTCTTCCCCTGCATCGCTCGTCCAATCTGTAATATAATTCAGTATCCAGTAAAGGTGAAAAACTTAACATAATACTCTTTGGTTTAATAATTAACCAAACTTCAGTACAATCACAGAGACGGTGTGTTTGGCCAATGGAAATGTTCTGTTAGAGATGTAAGATTATCCAAAGTAGACTAAATTATCGAGTAAAGACAATAATGTATTCCCATTAGTTTATAGGACTTGATTTAATCTACTCCAGAGAACACCTCAGTAACCGCTTTAAGTTTCATTTTGTACAAATCTCTTTTATTTTAAATCTAAATCTAAATTCACTGTTTTGAGAAAACAATAAAAGAATTATCCTCCACTTTAAAATACCAGCATGAGACAAGTGTAAGACATAATTAAGCCCTGTTGTGTTTGTGTTGTTCACTTTCGGGAGCTGAAAAAAGTTGATCAGCAGTGCTTATGTCATGTGATCATCGGGATATATGAAGTGGGAATCACCAGACATCTCACAATACCATGTCAGCTATTACATTTGCACTCAGCACCGTCCGGTTCTATAGTAATATTACTAAAGCCAGCTGAGTCGAGTTCTCTCGAGTTGTTCTCATTGACAAAGTCTGTATTTATAAATTTGACTGCAATTATTTTCAAACTTTGGACAACGTCTCTGAGAGTGATGGCAGTCATTCCAAGTCAGGCTGCAACTGTTTGCAGAAAGGTTGCAACCTGTGCAATCACCTTGTGGTCAAAAGTGTGCAACACCCTGAAAGTCTGGGCAGCCATTCAGTCACCACCAGTTGCGATTGTTCACAGAACATGAAAAAAATTACAATCACCGTCCAGCCACCAGTTTAGTTTTATTTCTTTGTTTATTTCAGTAGCTGTAGGGAGCTCGCTGTCCTATCATTAGTCGTGTGACTGAGCCGTTAGCTTGCTCTGAATTAGGCGTAAGCTTTGTCAAGCTAACCGCGTCCAGCGTTGGGTAGTTTTTTGGTTGAGATGATGAGTCTGCTCAGTTCCCGGAATAATAACTAAATAATTAATAATAAAATATCAATATTTGGTGTCCCTGTGTTGATACATTATTGCCACGCACAATATTGCAGTTCCATGCTATCTCAAAACCCCCACCCCTCCCCCTTCAGGATATTGCTGCACATTCACCTTCTTACCTTACTTTCTCTCTCGATGGTATGGGGCGAGCATAAATACAGAGCGCTTGAGCGTGGCACTCACTCGCTTACAACGGCCTTGTTTTATCAGCCTTTTAGTTGCCACCACTTCTACCACGCCACGCTGCTCTTTTATACTCGGCCCTTTTCTGCAGCCTTGAATGGTTAAAAAGGCTTTCCGAGCTCTCCGCACAAGGCCAGGAGCACACATCTCCTTCTGTCAGCTGTGTGTGTGTGTTAGAAAGAGAAGATAAGTGTGTCTGTGTGAGTGTGTCTGGGTACCACACTAACCTAAACGGACATAAACAAAAGCAGGAATCAAAGACTATGGTTACAATATCTATTCGTGTCTTTGTTTATTTTAGTTTTTCCCAGCGTGCACGGTTTAGAGGTGGAGTTCATCGCGCGGGTCTGTGTCACTGCCTTTGTGTGTATATGTGAGCACGCCCATGCGGTTAAATCTGGTCTTCAAAAAGGGCTTCGTGTCGCTTTCTCATTTCTTTCCTCTAACCCTGCTTCCTCTGTGTTCCTGTCTGTCTATCTGTCTCTAATTTGACCCGTCCTCCATGTTCCCTGTCTGTGGATAGGTCACACTTGTAATTATGCCAATCACACTGTCCCCACTCTCTCTGTTTTCTCCGTATGCTAATGATAGGCTCCCTTTAATGTCTTGATGGCCAATTAAGCCACAAAAGTACACGAGAAGTTTCTTTTTTTTAGACTTCTTTGTTCTGTAAGATCAGTCAGCTGTTGCAGAGACTTCTCTTGACATGGTTGTTTATTATAGTTCGATAAAGGCAATGATATATCAGCTTAACTCGCCGCGCTGCACATGGGCTTATAAATTTGTTGACTCCGCTTGTTGCTACGACACCACTGATGACATCATAATCTAATGATCTAATATTCAAGTGGATTTTGGCGTAAAGCTCTGACTGTGTTGTGTGACATTCAGTTTTGTGATGTGGTGAGGCTTGAGCTTTCTAGCACGAGACTGTGAAAGTCCTACTTCAGCTTGTGTAACAACTCAGTTTAAGCGGCCTAATGTTGGATCGGATCCTCGGGTGTGTTTGGGTTGGTTTCAACACTCTTTTTGTCTGATTGGATCTTTTTTCTTCGATTGTTTTAGGGTGGAGGTAAATGACGTGGTTGTTGCACTTGTATTTTGGTCATTTTACTTTGATTATCCTCTAATTTCCTTTCTTGTTTCCTTCTCGTTTGCTCTCGTTCTTTCTTGCTCGACATTGCCATGCATTGTTGAGGACTGTCACCTCACAGCATTTGGTTTCAGTATCTTCAGTTTTAGGGGTTTTATTGGTTTTACAGATGATTCCAATTTAAAATATGTCGTACATGTCGCTAATAAACAAGCAACACAGTCACAAGCACGTCTGAATACTGAAAAACTTATGGAAGAAGAAGAACATTATTAAATTAGTTAAAAATGAATGCTGGATAACTGGTATGACAAGAGGGTATAAAAACAGAGCGCTCACTGTGTAACAGTTTGAGCAGCTCGTTGCCGACATTATAAATGTACCCGCACAGTTGGCTACATCAAAATGAGAAACTCATTTTAAGAAATTCATTGTTATAAAAGTAGAACAGTGAAAGTGCATCGGTCAGCTCTAGATTTGCTCGGATTAGTTCTCCACACTCTGGACTCTCTGATTAGCTCAGCTATGGTTGTCCGTCTGTTCCACACAGCCAGCAACACGCCCGGTTTTCGTCATATCTAAATGTGCGCACATCCTCTGCACACACGCCATAATTCACACCATGATGGAAAAACCTTTTTTGACAAAAATCATGAAACATGAGATGATGGGGGTTTATTTAAAAACATTTTACAGGAAACTTTTAAAATGCCAGATGATAAAATATGAGACGCTTGGTGGCTCCAGTGTTTAAGTGAATGGAAAAGTGGTTTGTAGTCTAAAGCACTTTGAGTACAAAAGCCAGTCCATGTCTAGTTCTCTCTTTTTGTCCTCACTCGTTCTCCCTTTTGGCCTATTTGTTTGCCCCCTAGTGGTTCTTTTTGGATGTCCTACAAAGTCTACAGCTGGTGCACTGACCCAGACCGCTTATTCACCTCATAGGATTGAATGTTCGAGCACTCAGAGTGTCTTTTTTCTCTCTGTCAGGTTTATTATAATGGAAATGTACATTATAGTGTATGTGACCATGCCAAAATGAATGGTAACGCAGCGTGCCAGAATCCTGTTTGCCCAGTCTAACAAAGACACACGGGCACACATACAGGAGGCGCACACACCCATACACGTACGCAGGAACTCGTGCATCTTATCTTC